CAGCAAGGCTGGCTGGGAAATTCTGGGAATTGAAGTCCACACCTCTTCAAGCTGCCAAGGTTGAGAAACACTGCTCTAAATTATTTGGCCCAGCTTCACTACCACATGAGCACAGAACAGCAAAAAGGGATTAGAGACGGTTGGTCCTCTGGGGTCATCTGTGAGCTTCGTTTTGCCACACCAAGAAACCAGTTGCAAAGCCAGATTTATCCTTGGGCCCATCCCACGAGGTTGCTGCCTTTCGATCCAACCCTTTCCCCAAACAGAGAATTAAATCCCTTTGTAACTAATTGTGTGAACGTCCTTTGTTAAGGCTGTTTTCTTTTTTAATACAGTTTTTCAATTGTTACTGCAGGTTTCCTCTCACAAAGGAAAGCCAGTTAAAAAAGTGGATCAAAAACATCGGTCGTCCGAACTTCACACCCTCTTACAACGACGTCGTGTGTTCGGAACATTTCAGAAAGACGGATTTTTGGGGAAGCATGGCTTCTGGGAGAAGGAATTTAAAGCCAGGAGCGGTCCCAACTATCTTTAATACCTCTGGCCGTTCGAAAAGATTAAATTTTGCCAAGGTATTTTGATTTGTTTGCTTTTTCTCTCTGCTGGAGTTTATTTGGGTTAATCACCTTAGATTGGGGTTTCTCAACCGTGGCCACTTTAAGACATGTGAACTTCAACTCCCAGAATTCCCCAGTTACCTTCTTTAACATTTAATCATCTCCATTTCTAATCCAGATATTTTATTGGAATCAAATTAAATAAACAGTTACTTACAAAGTGGGAATCCCTTCAATTTGTTGGGATTTTGCAACAGTGCACGACGACAGAGCTGTAACCCCAAAGTCCTCTGAGAATTTCATAAGAAAGGCCTCCAGCTGACCGTTGTAAAATAACTCTAAACTGTGGATATTAATATTCTCTCTATGTAAGGAAATGTCTTTCCCCCCACTTTCCTTTGCAGAGGACTGAAAAAGAAAGTGCAGAAGACAGGCAACCCCTCGTCCAATGTAATCCACCCAGCCCACAGCCAGGCGCTCCTTCAGAGGTCGGCGAGAGCGACGCGGAAGTCTTGTCCTCCAAGAACGATATTGTGATCCTAGAACATTCCTACTCTGTTCCGGGGAGTCCAAGTAAAGCAAGCAAGTGAATTTCATGACATTTATAATTAAATGGCAGAAACCGCTAAAGATGCTGAGTGTTAGCAGGGCAGCGATAATGGTGGTCAGCGTGGGCATGTTGGGGGAATGGGGTGGGGTGGGGTGGGGGTTCAAGAAAGGCTCAAAGGTCAAGACTTGGTCAGTTTATTATACAGCAAAATCTTATTTTAACAGAATAATTCATGTGGGATACCCCAAAGCTCAATAATTCAAAGAGGGTGCCATGGTGGTGCGCAAATGATGTCGCATGACCGAAATGGCTTAATTTGCAATGTGCTCTACGTGAGACATGTGATGGCCCAGACAGTTATGGGTGTACTTCCTTGCACCCGTGCTTTGTCACTGATCCGTCAGCTGCACAGGTAGGCTTCCTGGTGCAATTTGGGGTATAATGCCTTTTGTGGCATGCCGCCAGATTATTTGCGGGAATACTTCTCTCCGATCGCCTGCTTGCCCCACTAGATCTGACAGAGTGGGCTTGCTCTGGGTCCTGTCTATTAAACAGTGCCATCTGGTAGAGCCCAGGAGGCGTGCCTTCTCTGTCTCAATGCCTGCCTTTTGGAATACCGTACCCGCTGAGATTTGCTTAGCTCCGACCCTGCTAGCATTTCCTAAATCCTTGAGGACCTGATTATTCTCCCAGATGTGGGGTCCAGAACTGAGGTGGGCTCATCAATGTGATTCGTTGTTTCTGTGGTTGGAGTAGATTGTTGCTATCAGTTATTACGTTATAAGTAGTGGTTTGCCTGTCTGTGTTGGTTTTTTAATCTTACGTTTGCCACCCAGAGTCACAGTTGCAAGACGGTGGCTGTATTAATTGATATAATAAATAAAGAAGTTATGTACATGACAGAGACCACCATGGAGTTTGGTCTTTCGCATTGTTGTTGTTGTTCAGTCGTTAAGTCGTGTCCGACTCCTCATGACCCCATGAACCATATTGCGCCAGGCCTTCCTGTCCTTCAC